GATTCAAGTCTTTGGCTCTTTGCAAATCCTACTTATGAGAAAATAACCTCTTTTGATTTTTATGCATTTATTGTTTTGATTTTTTAATCTAATTGACAAGATAAATATTCTCATTCAAAATTAACAAAAATACCTAATTGAGTCTTGGTCATGGTATTACTATCAAAGTTTTTAATTACCGTGGTATTCAAATTATAAATAGACTTCATTTTTTTTTTTCTCTTATGATGGTTCAACTGATATTAATAAGACCAAACTTCTGATGATGATATTTACATATGAACTACCGTTCGTAGTCCTTGTGATAATTAAGTAGCTTATGTCTACATCAAGGCTTTATATTAAATTTGAATGTCACTAAAAACTTTGCAAGAAACAAATAGATGAGGTTCTGGGCATATAATCCCCAAGAAAAATCGAAGGATGAAACAAAAGAGAAGATTCTTGTAAATTAATTTGTCACACGCATGTATAATTTTCTAGATACAACCATTACCAATTAAAAGCTAGTGTAGTTAGACTAAACTGCTAGCTTTGAAAGGTCAGTGATAACGTGATAAGGTGATCCCTTATGAAAGATGGAACGATCCAATTTTTTTTAGAAGTATTTAATTATGTAACAGATTAAGCTATCATTTCAGTGGCTTGAGTTCGGAATTCTGGACAGTTTTTTGGCGAAATGTTCATGTTGCATGACTGAAACGGTTCGGCACCTTTATATAAAATTGTTATATCTTCCTTCCATGATCAAGTCTTAAAATGGAGAATAGTTTCATTTAGAAACGCAGAGAGTTCAGAATCAGAAGCAGTGTTATTGATGGAAACGGAAGTCCTGAATTGCAGCAACGCAGCAGCCCTCTCATTAGAGCAGAGCTGTGTTGCTGAAATAAGAAGCATGTAAAGAGAATGAGAAAGCAAGTTTTAACAATTAGGAAGAAGAAAAGGAGGCAGAGAGTGCACAAAGCACCATATATGAAGTGTTGAATTTTGATATTTTAGGAATGGTATACAATAGTATGTATCGTTTCAACTTTGAATATACACTTATACAGTTACAATACACCAAAAGGATACATCTCTTCAACTTAGCCAATATTTGACCGTACAAAACTCGGGTGGATGAAAATTGAAAAGGGTCCGACCACTATATCTTCATCTTTCTAGCTACTTCCCTACTTTGAAACCCTTATAAACTATGCAACCTAGAGCAAGTAACCGGAAATATTATTGAAAAAACAATAGATATCACAACCACACAAGATAGATATTATTTCAAGCAATGTATATAAAGTACATGATGAGTCATCTCGATGCCATTATCTTTAATGCTAAGTGCGAAAATATTAAATTATCCCAGCAAATCTTCGTCATTGTCATGACAAAACTCCTCTCAGCTGCAATTATTAAGGGCTGATGTTCAATGGTCGAAACTAGAATTTGACCTTGTAGTATACTCTGCTACAAGCTGAGCAAAAGATGGAGACTTGTTTTCCAGCAGTCTTGCCGGAGAATCATACTCTTCAATGAGTCCTACCAGTTAAGAAAATTAAATCAATTTAATACACACTGTAATTCTGTACCTAGAGGGAAAAAATTGAAATTGACATAAAACCATTCATACCATGAT